TCACCTGATAAATGAGAGCTTTAGGAAGTTGACACAAACTTCAGACCAGAAAGCCACATATGGGCCAGCGTTGGAGAGTTTGGGGATTCTACAGGAGTAATTAACCCCAGTATTACTCTAGGCCAGACAAATTTGGGAAAGTATTAAATATGTGTTTGGGAAGGTGACAGGTGCCTGCACACTTTCTGTTGGCTAAGATCAAAGCGTAGCACTGGGAAGTGTGTATCCAAGTGTAACTGTGTGTCTCTGTGGGGTTAGGAGTGTGTGTGTGTCTACACAAAAGTGCACTTTGCCATTTAACCATGAGCCTTTTCCAGCTATGGCCTGAAGCATCACTTTCTTCCATGACTGGGCCCTAAAGGGGGGATATTTAAAGCTGAAACCAGGGGGTGGGATTGGGAAGGTGCCCACAAGCTCGGCTCAGACACCTGTGCAGACTACCATACCCTCAAACATTAACCTGTCTCAGAATCACCCGAAGGGCTTGTTAAGGCGCTATGGCTGGGCTCTGCCCCTAGAATTTCAGATATTGCATGGCAGGGGCTAGGGCTGAGGCTGGGTTGGGGAGGGCTGGAGAGTTTCCATTTCTCCCAGTTGATGCTGATACTGTTGGTCTGTGGACACTCTCTGAGAACCAGACCTATAGGAAGTCCACCCCCTGCCTCAAATCTGGATGCCTTCTGCTTGTGTGGTTTGGTCTTTGCACACTCAGCCTTGCTCTTTTCCCCTTTGCTGGTGGCACCTGTGCTCATCAGATAGGGTCTCCAGATCTAACAAATAAAAACATAGGATGCCCAGTTAAATGTGAATTCTAGATAAAATAGAAAAACTATTTAGTATAAGTATATCCCGGATATTGCATGGGACATACTTATACTAAAAAAGAATCAGCATTTATCTGAGATTCAAATTAACTGAATGTCCTATGTTTAATATGTCGACCTTTTCATCCCAGTGGAGGTCAAGTGTCTCTCCTGCCACTTTCCTGTGATTGAATAGGTTGCAGCTGCTGATGAAATGAGCCCAAAGAGGGTTTGTGCTTTTCAGATGGATCCACCTGCTACCCCGGGCTCCTTGGCAGTCTTGGCTTGGTCTCAGCTGAGATGGACTTGGCTTGGCTTCCTTTGGGTCCTCTTTTTTTCTCTCTGCCTGTTCATTTGTCCATCCCTCTCTCATGCTTTCTTTTATGCTGCCTCTCTTACGGGGGCTCTAAAAGGCAGAAATCTGCAAGGCAGTGGGGCTGATCCAGGAAAAATCTGTTCCTGGCAGCAAACAGGGAGTCCAGGAGACCAGCGACCTCCCGGTGTTTGAGGGAAGAATGACATCTGGCCCAGAGAGGGTGCAGAGATCACCAGCTGGCTCGCCACGTATTATGAAAAGGACAACATTTGCCTTGGAGAACGCGGCCGACCAGGGCTGGTTCTGTCACTGCGGGAGTTGGGCTGTGGCGAGGGCGGAAGGAAATTGACACCGCTTGGTTCCCGTTGTTGGCAGAGGGAACTCGCCACTGCGCACTTTATCGTGCGTTGAGGGGCAGAGGGAGAGGAACAATCAAAGGCCTCCTGGAGACATGGACTTGGACGCGGCATCCTCCTAAACGGCCCCGGTTGTCGCTTTTGCTTGCCAGAGGCCTTCTTGACGCTGAGCATGGAGGAATGGAGGGACAGAAGGCGTAGATGCTTCCTTCACTTTGCCATCCCTCCACTGTCTGCCGCTCTCAGGCTGGGCCCTCCCCTGCCTTTGTGAGCGGCTTCCTCTCTGGGGCTCTGGCCCAACCGATCAGCTGCTGCTGGGGAAACAGGCCACAGCCTCAGAGGAGGAGCGAGACGGTGCTGTCCCCGTGGGTCACCCCGGGGTCTGGCAAGGTGGCCTGTGTGCATCCCCCGGCCTCGAGGGCTGCGCCCCTCTTCCTGCGTCCCCAGCGCTATATGGAGGACGGTGGGATCAAGAGAACGTGGTTTCCCGCAACCTGAGATCTGGCAGTCGTGGGGAGAGAGGAGCCGTGGCTCCCTGTTGTGCCCGTTTGCCCTGCGTGGCACCCAGACCCACCTTGGCAGGGTAAACAGGCATTGTTTTCCTTCTCTATCAGACATGCAGTGTCTCATTGGTGCTTTGTCGTGGCCCCAGGAGGGACACAGGCAGCCATGACGCTCCCTGTTTGTTAACCAGGGACACTGAGCACCAGAGATGGGCTGGCCAGTCCCAGGGGATGGGTGCTGTCTGGGAGGCTCCCAACACCTGCGGGTGGAGTGGGGCCCGTGGGTCTGTGCGGCGGGCGGTGCCTTCTCACTCGCGGCCTGGACCCTGCCATCGTGGGCGTGCCACCCTGACCCCCAGGGGTTTCCTTCCTGACATCGCATCAACATATGTGCCATTCCCGTCTTCAGTCTGTTAGTCCTGTGGCAGGGGCTTGATACGTTTTTGGAGAAAGGCTATTCACCACCTTGTCCCTGCCCAAAAGGGGCACTGGAAGGTATGGATGAAGAAATCCATGGAGTCTGCCACTCTGGGAACGTGTGTTCCAGTTGGAGAGACCAGTCAGGGCAAAATCAGTAAGACTCTGTGCCATGGAGTGTCCACTTGCCCAGGCCAGGCTGTGCGTGTAGCTGGAATGCAGAAATGGAAACCCATGTGGCTAGGTTGGGCTTCATGGGGGACTGGAGGTGAGCCTGGGGGAGGAGGGAGGTGGGCCTGACAGGTGACCGCCTGGCATTGGAACCGGGTCCTACATTCTAGCCAGGATGTGGTGCTTGGATGCCCTTTGGCAGGGAGAAGATGGTGACTAGTGGCTTTGCTCATGAATGAATGATCTAGCGACTTCCTTGCCCCACACCCTACGGGAACTCGCTTCTGGCTTTATCTTGCCCACCTGCTGCCCACCTCAGTGTTGGGACCTGGTCATACCCCCGTGGCTCCTTCTGGAGGGGGACATTTGGCCAAAGCAAACAGTATAGTCTTTGGCAGTTCAGTGTCAGTTTCTTGGGCTGCCATCACAAAGTGCCACAAACTAGGTGGCTCAAAACAGAGATTTATTCTCTCACCACTCTGGAGGCCTGAAGTCAAGGTGTTGGCAGCGCTGCACTCTCTCTGGAGGGGGGGGGGAGAATCTGTTGTACACCTTTCCCGTAGCTCTGGGTGTTGCTGCATCCTTGGCGTGCCTTGGCCTCTACATACGTCACTCCAGTCTCTGCCTCTGTCGTCACGTTGCATTCTCCCTGTGTGTTTCTGTCTTTTCTCTTTTTTTGTTGTTGTTAAGAACACCAGTCATGGAATTTAGGACCCACCCTAATCCACTGTGACCTCATCCTAACTTGATTTGCACCTGCAAAACCCTGTTTCCAAATAAGGTCACATTCATAGACCCCAGGGATTGGGACTTTGATATATGTTTTTTTTTGGAGGGGTGGGGGTGTCAGGGACACAACTGAGCTCATAATAGATTTTGTTTTGTTTGCCTCCAAATCCCATCTACCTGTTAGAGTCTCTGTCCCCTGTCAGCCCATCTCCGGGGTCCCTGCAGATCTTGGACATGGGCAGAGACCCTCACCTCCCCCCTCTCTCATAGCACCTTCTCTCATTTGCTGGGCTGCAGAGTGGGACAGGTGTGGGTTTGGACACTTAAAACTGAGTCTTCCCCTGTGGGGGGTGAAGGCTTGGTTGGAAGTGCGGCTTTCCCCATTTTGGGGCTGGGTGGTGAGGGAGCCTCATAGAAGGTGCGTTTAAGGGCAGGAGCTAGGGTGGAGGCAGCTGCGTATTTCCTTCTCTTTTCCTGTGGAAGACGATAATGCATTTTCAGAGGCACAGAATGGTGGCTCTGGAAGGACCTTTGAGGGCTCTGGGCCCCCCTGACGCACAGGAGCAGGGGGGGGCACCAGAAAGGGCACCCGCCTTGTTGTGGAGCTCTGGGTTTGAACCCTGGCTCCTCTGCTCTGCAGCTCTGACCTTGGGCAAAATTCTTCAGCTTCTCTGAGGCTCGGCTTCCTTGTCTATAAAATGGGATAATAATAACAATTGCTCGTCAGATCCCACAGGGTGCTTGTGAGGCTTGAATGATAAAAGATGGATGTGAATGTACCTCTAAAAAACGTCATTATGGGAAAATACAGAGAACAGAAAATTTGCCATTTCAACTATTTTCGAGTGTGCGGTTCAGTGGCATTAAGCACATTCACATTATTGTGCAGCCATCACCAGCACCCACCTCCAGAGTTTTTGCATCATCCCAAACTGTGAAATGACCTTTTAAGCTATAAATTAAGAGTGTTTTAAGAAGCAGGGGACTTGCCCACGGTCACCTACTGAGTTGGGGCGGAGCTGAGCTGAGAACTCTGTCCCCAGACTTGGCTGCAGGGCCCTGGGACACATGACACATGAGCCCTTGTTGGGGGTGGATCTCTCCGGCAGGCTTCCTGTTTCTCTCAGAACCACCCCCAGGACCTCGGGGACTCCAGGTAGACTGGAATTTGTGCAGTGGTGGGACACGCTCAGCCCTTGCTCCCAGGCGTGCTTGGTGGGGGCGTTCCCAGGGGTACTGGCACCTCTGCTTGCTCAGGCTGTCTCAGTCCCCTCAACTCCCTGTCTCTCTGTCTTCTTGCTCTACCTGTTCCTTTGACCCTCAGATGAGTCCTAGGGGGTAGCTGGGGCAGGGGTTACTGTGCCCATTTTGCAGGTGGGAAGAGTGACATGTTGGCGGCAAGATCATCTAGGAGAGTGGCCGAGCTGACAGCCAGGCACGGCCTTCCCGCCTCTGCTCCAGATGTCCTCCACAAACCTTCCCTGGGTCCTCTCTGTGTTTCCTGCTTAAAAGAGCCGCTTGGAGCAGGCAGTTGCTGTGCCTGTTGGGGTCCTTTTTGTCAGCCGGTTACTGGTTCTTTGTCTCTGTGCTCAAGGAGCTCAGGGCTCGAGGACGCTGCAGGGAGGAGACTGCCACCGTGGGGCAGAGGGGGCCGAGGCAGCCAGGCTAAACTGTTGGCTCCGTTGGTTCTCCTCCTCACCACCAGGTCCCGGCTGGCGGACTTCCACGCCAATTGTCGAGCCTCCTACCAGACGGTCACCAGCTGCCCTACAGACAATTACCAGGCGTGTCTGGGCTCGTACGCCGGCATGATCGGTAAGCTCCTCCGGCACACCTGGGCTTGCGGGGGCTTCTTGCTGTGCCCCTCTCAGCGGGGCAGGGGCTGCAGTCCAGCTCGGGGACAGCCGGCGGGGACGGCCTAGGCACGGCCTTCTCTGCGGCAGATGCAGCTAGAGTTATGAGACGGACCAGGGAGAGGTAGCCCTGCAGTGAGGAGGAGGAGGAGACCCTGGCCTTTATCTCGGGGGTGGGGGGGGCAGGTTCTTGTCATGGGGAAGGGGAGCCCCAGTGGCCCTATGAGGCTTTTGAAATCCAGAAACAAGGTAACATTTACTGCACGGTTCTGACATTCCAGGCACTGCATAAGCAGTTTACTCGGATTTCCTTACTGAATTCTTCCAATAGCTCCTGCTAGGGGGGTGTTGATATCTCCATGTTACAGATGAGGAAACTGAGGCATAGAAAGTTGAGTAGCTTGCATAGGTTCACCTAGCTTGCAAATGTTGGCACAGGGATCCAACCCCAGGATGTGAGCCTCACTCGCCCTGGTTCTAGAACATTCCGTGCTTGCTGGGTAGGTGAAAGCCAGGGCCCACCCTCTGGGAGCATCTTCTCTGTCTTCCTGGTGGTGAGGAGTCCAGTGTGCTGTAAGGCTCTGGCCCCTCTGCCCCCATGGTTGCTGGCACAGTGGTGCTCAGAGTTAGGACTGGGATTTGGGATGTGTGTGTTTGGGGGGCAGGTGGGGGGCGGGTCCCCAGCCTGTGCCCTGCTGTGCCTGGGGCCCAGGCTCAGGGGGAAGGCCCTACTGCCCCTCTCTCCTTCCCCTCCCCTTTCTCCCTGCCCAGGGTTTGACATGACGCCCAACTATGTGGACTCCAGCCCCACTGGCATTGTGGTGTCGCCCTGGTGCAGCTGTCGTGGCAGTGGCAACATGGAGGAGGAGTGTGAGAAGTTCCTCAGGGACTTCACCGAGAACCCATGCCTCCGTAAGTGCTGGCATGTCCCCATCCCCAGGAGCCCCTCACGCCCGTCCCAGCCAGAGGGGCCCTGGAGTCCATCCTAGCCGTTCCCTTCTGCGTCCACTGGGATGGCCACTGGGACGTATGGTGCTGCTCCACCACAGCTGTTGCCTACGGGGACCCTGGGTTTTGGGCTCTTGGAGATTGACAGCACCACTATGGGCAGGCCAGCTCCAGCCAGCTTCCTTTGGAGACAGAGCCCTGTACTGAGGGTTGTTGGCATTTGTCGCTTCCCCCTTGAATGAGTTCATTTCCCCTTGGAATCAGTGACTCTCTTTTCAAGTCAAGTTGTCAAACTCCTAATCTAGAGGCTAGAAAGGGTAGCTGCTGCCATGCTCAGGCTGGCTTTGACCTTTCCAGTTGACGCCATTGCCACCTGTGCCCACCTGAAAGTCTCTTCCCTCTTTCCTCCTCCCCTCCCTCCCTCCTTTCCTTCCTCCTTTCCTCCCTCCTTTCCTCCCTCCCTTCCCCCTCCCTCCCTCCCTCCCTCCCTCCCTTCCTTCCTTCCTTCCTTCCTTCCTTCCTTCCTTCCTTCCTTCCTTCCTTCCTTCCTTCCTTCCTTCCTTCCTTCCTTCCTTCCTTCCTTCCTTCCTCCGCTCTCTCCCTCCCTTCCCTCTTTCCTTCCTCCCCTCCATCTGTCCATCCATCCTTCTTCCCATCTCTTCTGTATGGCACTGGAGATTTAGAGATGCAAGTCATCAAGGAGCATGCATGCAGTCTGATGGGGGCAGACAGAGGGTTGCATGATCACAAGGTGGGGTGACTGATCCTAGGGTGGGGGTCTGCTCAGGGTCCTCGAGCAGTCAGGGTGGGGATGCCCAAAGCGGCCAGGAGGAGGAAGGCCCTGAAGGCTTCTCAGAGGACGGACCCATGGGTGGGTATCTGGGCATTGGTCCGGGAGCACCTGCCAGTCTGCCCTGGGCAGAAGTCCAGGGTGCCACGGAAGACCATGGTGTAGCGTGGCTACATAGCATTGAAGGTGACCAGAGTGGCAGAGTTCTCCAGGTAGGTAGAAAGTGTCCTCCTCATGAAGGGTCTTGCACAACTGAAGGCATTTGGACCTTACTGCTCCGCAGGTGGTGACGGTGCAGGTCACTAAAGGGAAGTCAGTAGATGGTGTTGAGATCAAGTCGGTTTTCCAGAAATTGGATCTGTCTGTGGCGTGGAGGTGGTGGGGGTCAGGGATGAAGTTCTGACAGGTAACCCCACACAGAGAGTCACATCAGAAGGCCATAGTAGCCACTCATGGGGGAGGACAGTGATGTGAACCAGAGCTGGGGAGGGGGACAGTGAAGATTGATGGGTGGAGGGGTCTTTAGGTGGTGGGCTCAGTTGACTGCCAGAGGGTATTTAGCAAGGCAGCATGGGTGATCCCCAGGATTCTGACTTGGGGGGGACTTGGGGGACTTGGTCAGATGGAGATGTCACCTTCAAGGCTGGCAATACAGGGGAAGGGAGTGTTGGCAATGGTTGGAAGAGATGCCTAGTCAGGCTTGGGTACGCTGAGCTTGAGTTTCATATGGGACGTGGAGGTGGAGATTTTCTAGGCTCTTCTCTAGATGGTGTGGGAGGAGAGGAGTCCACCCTGGGAAAGTGTATGGTGTGGAGAGGGCAGAGGGCTGAGTTCCACCACCTTGGAACAGCAGCGCTGGTGGCAAAGGAGCCAGAAGAGTCTGTGCCTGGGGAGCTGGGGCTGGGAAGCGCCCAGAGGCGCGACCTGCAGCTCCCACACAGAGGAGGTGGTCTTTTGTCCCCGAGGCTCCCCATGCCTCCCACTTCCTTCTCTCCCTCCTTTTCCTCCTCTGCATTCCTCAGCACGTGCATTTCTTTCTCCTCTGGTTTCTCTGTTTTTTTCAACCCCCGGTGCTGTTTTCTTCTCGAGATGTGAGCCTTGGGTGGTATCTGCGAAGGAGCTGCAGCACAGCTGAACATGGCTGTACTCCATGCTCCCTGGCTGCTGGGCTGTCTCGGGGAAGGGAGTGGGCAGGGTGAGGTGGGTCCTGACATCTGCCTGTCCCCCACCCCAGGGAACGCCATCCAGGCCTTTGGCAACGGCACAGATGTGAACGTGTCCCCAAAGGGATCCTCATTCCAGGCCACCCAGGCTCCTCGGGTGGAGAAGGCCCCTTCTTTGCCAGATGACCTCAACGACAGCACCAGCCTGGGGACCAGTGTCATCACCACCTGCACATCTGTCCAGGTGAGCGGGCGTGGCTGAGGGGCTGGGGTAGTGCTTGCCCTGTCCATTCATTTAGGCATCATCTTGCAAGTGCCACTCACCTGTTATGTCATAGTGCTATAGCAGATACCAGGGGGTACAAGAGAAATGTGACAGTTACCATTTAATAACCCCCTGCTAATTATCAGGCAGTGTGCTGTAGACTCTCCACCTGTCTCACTGAATTCTCACACAGTGAGGTGCTGGTGCTCTGGTTTTACCCAAAGGAAACTGACCTAGAGGGCTTAGGTGACATACCTGAGATCACACAGCTAGTTAGTGGTAGAATAATATTTCAAACCTGCATCTGGTTCCAAAGCCCATCATGTTCATGTGTTTGTCCATCCTATGGTCGGTCCATCCTTCCATCCATCCAACATTTGTGACATGCCCAGTGCGTGCCAGGTCCCATGTAAGACACTAGGGACTCATTGGTGAACGAGGCCAACACAGTCTTGGGTTTTGTGGTCCTTATGGTCTTGCTGGGTCCATCAGATGTGGACTGCAGTTGGTGCTATTACAGGGGACACACGTGGCACTGTCAGGGCACATCAGAGGGCTCCCCGCTCAGCCTCTCTGCTGAGCTACCCTCAGACCATCTCACCATTCGCTGCAGAGGTTCTGTGCTGAAGAGGTTGGTTCTAGACAGGCCACACACACGTGCTCCTGCACTTGTGCGCGCACACACGTGCGCACACACGGATCTAGAACAAAGAATGTCAACGAGAACCCAGCATGGAACTCCGCTCAGGGAGAGAGGGGGGAGGGCGGGCACGGCGAGGACGTGGCTGGTGGGTGGTGGGCGTTTCGGGCAGGAGCTGGGACTTGCACTGCCAGGCAGGGTGGGTGTGTGAGGAGCAGTCTCTGGCACAGCCCAAGTGCAGGCATGGAGGGAACGAGACCGGGCAGTGTGCGAGGCTGTGAAGGCACCAGTCTGAGTGGGGCGGTGGGCTTGTGGGGTCAACCATGAGCATCCACAGTGCCAGGATGAGGACTGTGTGGGGACTCGGGTCGGCGAGACATTGGGTCCCTCCCGGCGCTGTGGGCTGTGTGCTGGTGCCCATGTGGGCAGGGAAGCCCCCCTCTTCCCGCCTCCCCTTCCCTCCCCGTCGGGTCTCCTGCTCAGTGACAGCTGATGTCCAAGTGCCCTCGTGCTGGGCTCAGCGTGGGGCCCAGCTTTGGCCGCCCCTCCTCACTTGGGCAGAGGTGCCAGTGTCACCCTTGGGCAGCTCCTAATGACACTGGGCATGCTTGGGTGGCTGCCAGCATGGGAGGGTCAGGGCCCCACTCTGCAGACAGTTGCCAGCTCAATTTCATGCTAGAGTGGCTGGCAGCTCGGCTGGTCAGGGCTGTGCCACCTGTCAGGTGACCGTGCCCAGGCGCCATTCTCCGGGCCCTACCAGCCTCCCGCACTGCACCCTTCCTGCCCGGGCCCCTTGGCCGGCTCGCCTGGGGACAGGCTGACTCATCAGGAGGCTGCCAACCCTCCCCAAGACCCTCACTGTCATTCCTCGTGGGCACAGGAGAGCTCAAGGCCATGGCTCCGGGCCCCCACCACAGACCCCCCATCACCAGCCCCTCACGACGCTGGTCATGGTTGAATTCCAGTGGGGATAATGGACAATGTGTCTGGGAGATGATGCGTGTGACAGTGCTTTGTAAACAACACATGTGGCACAAATGTTAGGGGTTGTGACTCCTGGGGGCGGGGCGGCCTCCTGGCAGGTGGCTCCTGTGGGCTGAGGCTGGCAAGTGTCCACTCAGGGCCTAGTGATGAAGTCACACCGGGCGGGAGAGCTGGGCCAGCCCTGCCCCCGGGAAAGGAAGAGAAACAGACTGTCCAGAGGGGCCGCGTTGCCATCACTCCCCGGGTTCCTTCTCAGAGGAACAGGAGAGGAGGGGCCCTGATTCTGCGTTAATCACCGTCTTTTCCATGAGCACCTGCTGGTCCATGGTAGGCACTGCGAGTGTAGCTCAAGCGGCCGTTGCCCCTGCCTTGGCCCAGCGGGGCTGGCATGGGTGTCCCCCAAGACACACCCCTCCCGGGCCTTCAGCTCCCCTGGTGTGGACCATCTCTGCTCAAATGGCTCTGTGGTGGCCCTTGTGCAGCCCTGGGGAGTTAGGGGCTCCCATGGCTATAGAAGGGAGTCCCTGAGCGAGGGCAGGGACAGGAAGCTGGGGCCTGGCCAGGAGGGAGGTGGGGGAACCTATGGACCCCAGATTCACCCTGGAGAGACAGGCAAGATATTTGACTTGTTCTTGTCCTATGTCCTCCGTCTTTCCTTGGGGAAGCCTTAGGGACCCCCAGAGATGGCTGCCAATTGGGGACCCCACATGGTGTCTGGATGTCAGGACTGGAAGGACCCTCTGAGGTCTCATCCCCAAACCCAAGGGACCAGAGGCCTGGCGAGGGCAGCAGCTTGTCCTCAGCCCCATAGTTGGTGGCCGAGCAGGGCCAGGAACTAGGGCCCCGGCCACCTGGTGTGGCCTCCTCCTCCAGGTCTGTTCCATGAGGTGGGGGTGGGGGACTGGGTCGCCATCGGGGCTGCTGGGCTTGGCTGTGGGAGTCTTGAATGGCCACCTCTCTGTCCCTATCTGCTCCCTGGATGGGTCTCTTACCCAGTGCACAGGCCAAGGGCATCAGAGCGTGGGACTGTGAGGCCCATTTGTGCATCGTTCATTTATTCAGCAGAGGTTCTCACTGCTTATCACCGTGTCCCAGGCATCAAAGCTAACAAGCTTGACAGGCTGGTGGCCTGGTCCTCGTGCCAGTGGGACAGGCAGGACACACACTCAGATGATTGTGATGGAGAAAGTGACTGGTGCCCCGTCCGTTGTGGGGCTGGTAAGGTGGGATGGGGTCCAGAGGGGGCAGGGACTGCTGTGACGGGGAGTGGAAGCCAGGGACTCACAGATGAGGTGACACCTGCTGCCAGGCCCGGGGGTGCAGGGGGCGTGGGATATGTGGAGACAGGGAGCAGGGGTTCCCAGGTGGAGAGGCACGGGGTCAGGACAGCACCAGCTGTGTTGAGTAGGATCTGTGTTTATAAATTAAGTTTTATTGGAAAACAGCCACACACTGTCATTTATGCGTTGTCTCTGCGCCAGAGTTGAGGCGTTGTGACAGCGACCGTGTGGCCTGCAGAGCCTAAGACACTTCCCCATGGCCCTTTGCGGGGAGTGTTTGCAGACCCAACTCTGGAGGCAACCTGGGCGTGGGTGTGGGCGTGGGTGTGGGTGTGGGCGTGGGTGTGGGTATGGGCGTGACGCAGGGGATGGGGTGGGGGGAGGGGCGGGTGTGGGACGTGAGTGGCAGGCTGAAGTGGAGAGCGTTGAGAGGCCACCGATGGCTCCGGAACTGGGGAGCGGTGAGTCGTGATCAGAGCTGCGATTTAGCGAGATTAATCTGACAGCAGGTGCAGAGTGGCTGGCAGGGGAGAGACGGAAGACCTGTTAGGAGAGCTTAGCCACGGCGGGGGGTGAGAGAGGAGGGACTGGAGTGGTGGCAGGGGGTAACGGGCAGGGAGGGGTGTGAGTTATTGGGGTGGGAGTAGGTGGTGGTGGGAGGACAAGGGCACTGAGATTAGGGGGTGGGGCCAGGAACAGAGTCCAGAAGTGCAGGAGAGAGGGGCCAGCTCCGGCCAGCAGGACAGCTCTGGACTCAGTCACTGGCTCCCGGGCCAGACCAGCGAGGCTCTGGGACTGCCGGGCCAAGCTTTGGGATTCGGGTGGGGACAGAGGTGGGCAAGGAAGACGAGGAAGACAATAATTTCCTTCCAACTTCTTGGGTACACGGATCTCTCTGGGAGAATGTTCTAGAAGGATGAAGCAAGCCTTTGCTGTAGTCCTGCCTCTTGGTCTGTGCCCCTCTCCCTGTGCCACCTGCAGGGGCAGACTCTTTCCTGCTTCTGGTGGGACCCACAGCGTAGCCCACAGGGGTGAACTGTTTCTGCAAAGTCCCTTTGTCTGCCTCTGTGGCAGCGGGTTTGCAGTTGGGAGCCATGTGTCCCGTCATCCTTGGGGACACTGTTGAGCCACAAACCTTGAGCTTGCCTCCAAGGGGTGGGAGGCCCAGAGAGAGGACAGTGGCAGGGATGGGAGCCTTCAGTCTAGAAAATGAAAGACTGGGATAGGTCTGTGATGACAAAAATCTGTAAAATGGATCTTGCAGCATCCAAGGGAAGTAGCTCAGGGCAGCCTGGTGGGTGACCTGTGCCCAGGAAGTGGCCCATGGACCCGGGATGCCTGCCCGGCTGAGCTGCCTTGAGCTCGGGGAGACCCAGACAAATGTGGATGACGGGGGAGGGTCACCTCCCGGATGTTCATGGTGGCTGGTCCTTTCTCCCACCAGAGGGATCACACGCTGGGTTGGATGTCCCATGGTGCTGGCCTGGGGAGGTCATAGGGACCCTCCCAATCCCCTCTGTTCCCTCTCCTTCCCCTCCCTGCCCCCCCATTTTCCCTTTCTCTGCTTCTCGCTTCACCTCGGCTCCTCTCTGATGTCTGCCTCGTTCCTCACTCTCCTCTTCCGTCTCCTTTCTCCTGTGTGACATTTGCCGTCACCCCCATCCTCTCTCCCCTCATTAAGAGGAGCCTGTCAAGGCCTCTCATGGAGGAGCAGAATCCAGTCCTCGCCCAGGTTGTCCCCAGAGAGCGTCCTCCGCACTTAGGCTCTGTCTCCTCCCACCCGGCTGGGCCACCAGGCGGGGGCAGGGGCGCCGTCCCCGGGCTCTGCCAGCTTCTCCATGACCTTGGGGTAACCTGCCGGCGTCCAGGTCTGTCTGGGGCCAGGCTTCCCCGAGATCGGGCGTCACAGCTGCAGAAAGTGGTGCTGGCCCCAACTCGGAAGCCTTCTAGGTCATTTGTCTCCCAGACCCTGTGTCATTTAAGCAGGGGACTGCTTTTACCACGGTTTTACGCCCAGCTGCAGTACACGCAGCGGATACAGGTGGAGCTGCTGTGGTTGGCATGGCGAGGACTGGCACCCGGGGCTGTCTGCCTCTGGCATTCTCTGTGGGCTCCACACTCAGTGAGTGCTGTGGGGGGTGGGGTCAGACACAGACCCCAAAGCGGGCAGGGACTGGCCTGCCACACCCAGAAACAGAGCGGAAGTGTTGCTGGGACCCAGAGGTGCTAGGCAGTGGGCACAGACCCCAACAGGCCACAGGACATCACGGGGGGGGGACCAAGGTGACTGAGCAGGGAGTGGCCAATGGGCAAGGGAGGGCAGGTGGGAGGCGAGGATGAGAGCACAACCTCTGAGGAGTGGCCGTGTTCTGTTCCCCCGCAGTGGCTGTGCACGGTCCTGGCTGGAGTGGCACCCAGTACTTGGGAGTGGAACCCAGTCATCAGTCTGGAAGGGCCTTAGAGCAGCCCCCACACACCTGTCTGCAGAGGGAAGAGGCTGGGGGGTTGGCCGGGCCCCGTCTTGGCACCTGGAGACACTGGTCTTGAACAGGACCCTCCTGCTCTGAGTCCCGGTTCTGTGGTTCCGTCCCTGCTGTGTTAATCAGTAGCATGGTCATATCTCCATCACTGATTGGCAGTGACTCTGCTCTTGGCCAGGGTCTCTGGGTGACAGCTGGGTCTTTGTGCAGCTGACCAGATGCCCCGGGTGGTAGATTGCCTGAGATGTCCAAGGGATCACTGATACTCCGGCCAAGAGCAGCAAGTCAGGCATAATTTCTTAGGGCTTCCCAGTTGCTTCTGGTGGCCAGAGCTTCCCTGCAAGTGGCTTGGGAACAAGCCATTGGAAGCCAGGAGAGGAACACTGCCTCCTGCAACTGGTTCCCATGGGTCACGATTGTGACGATGACAACAGAGGACGGCCCTTCAAGCATAGCCCCTGGTCCCAAATCCAGGTGGTTCTGGCGGGCTAGAGACTCCTGGAATCATCACCGAGCAAGACTGCCTTCCTCATTCCTTGTCACAGGGCTCCCAGGTGCTGCACATCCATTTAGGGTGGAAGTAGCCTGGCACAGTTGCCATTGCCCACCCAACAGGCACCAGTGGCAGACACCACTAATCAATCACCCCTCTCCCCCACCGAGGCCAGATGAGGGTTCAGGATCTTTTCTGCAGAGCCCTCCAGCAGCCATGACAAACTCACAGGAGCTGGCACTCAGATGCCATTTCTGATCTGTGGCATTCATTCATTCATTCGTGCCTGCATCTAGTAAGACATTTATTGATCGCTGTTATGAGCCAAACACTGCTCAGTACAAGGAAAAGAGGACGTGGTCCCTGCCTTTGAGGAGCGCTGAGCACGAGACAGACATGCAAGTGGCTGATTGCTACCTAGGGCCATTAGTTGGGGAGCAGAATTTAGAATCTGTTCCCCAGGAATCCAGAGGAGCCAGGACCTAGTTGTTGAGGGTGTCAGAAAGGGGCAGGGGCCTTTTGTGCTGTGTGTGTGATTGAGCCAGCCATGTCCATGGGGGGCCCCCTGCTTGGTGCTGCCACCTGCTTGGTGACAGGGCCTCATCCGAGTTGCTGGACAAAGTCTGGCCGGGCGCCCTGTCCTGACTAGTGCCTTCTCTCCCGCAGGAGCAGGGGCTGAAGGCCAACAGCTCCAAAGAGTTAAGCATGTGCTTCACAGAGGTGAGTGAAGGGCACAGTAGGGGGGTGGGCACGAGACTGGGCCGGAGAGGCTGTTCCCAAGGGAAGCCTCACACTCAGAGCCCCCAGATCCCATTGCAAGGGCTGGGCCCGCGTGGACCTGGGTGGACCCTCGCTGGGCGGGGCGGGGGGACTGCAAAGGCTGCACCCCAGGGCCCATGGCTGGCTCCCTTGGGGGAGAGAAAAATGGCTTCCCCGAGCAGAAGCCCTTTCATACCTTCCTTACTTTTTGCGACAATGTATTGAGCATCCACTCGGTGCTGGCTCTGTGATACTTAGGAGGTACAGAGATGGAGAAAGACACAGTCTCTTCCTTGAAGCATAGGACTTCATATGTATATGACTTACAGATCCAAGATAATAACTTAGATGAGAAGAAAAGCGGTATAAGATTCTGCAGGAGAAGGAGAGAGAAGCTCAGACAGGGACATGCAGGGAAGAGGAGGGATTTGAACAAATTCAGGAAGAGAGCCTCCCTCTCCTCTCCCCTCCTCTCTCCAGAAGCAGGTCCTTGTGGACCCCGGGAGCTGCTTCTCCTTGAGGTCTTTCTACCTCCCTCTCGGGGCTGGGAAGAGCAACTTACCTTCTGGGGACACTGCCCTACCTCTCCAAAGCCATGGGCTTGCGTCCACAAGGGGCAGAGCTTCCACGGCCTTTTGTCCCTGCCCAGCGGCATGGAAGCCTGGCTCTGTCCTCTGGGGGGGCAGAGAGGACAGGGACTGGAGGGGCCAGTTCTGGAGTCCTTTTCTTTGCTTGGTCCCAGGCCTTCTGATTGGTTTATTTTTTGTCACTCTCTTTGTTTCTGTCCTCCTTTGTGCTGTGGCCTCAGCTCACGACGAACATCATCCCAGGGAGTAACAAGGTGATCAGACCTAACTCAGGCCCCAGCAGAGCCAGACCGTCGGCTGCCTTCACCGCCGCCTCCCTCCTGATGCTCACGCTGGCCTTGTAGGCTCCGGGGACGTGTCGGGAGATTTCCGAAAGCTACACAGATGAGAGCACCTGCCTGACAACACGGAAACACACACAGACACACACACACACACCTTGCAAAAAATCAGTTTTTTTCCCACCTTGTCGCCGAACCTGTCTCCTCCCAGGTTTCTTCTCTGGAGAAGTTTTTCTAAACCAAACAGACAAGCAGGTGGGCAGCCCGAGAGCCGGCCCAGGGACCCCCTGGCAAGGGACACCCGGTGCGCCGAGTGGGGCGTGAGGCTCTGGAAATGCCCTTCACTCTCTCCTGCTGTTTTCCTCTCCGGACCCTTCTGAAGCAGAGACCACGGCGAGAGCCTGCGGCCGGAGGGACTCGTGGCTGTGCCTGGGGCTGGCTGGGGCAGGGCGTCGCAGCTGCTTTCTCCAGCTGCCCACTCTGGGGGCCTGCTGGGGCTGGCAGAGGGCATCGGTCAGCGAGGTAGCAGGGCTGGGCATGGGGGGCACATTCAGCCCCACCTTGCGGCTTCAAGGCTGGAGATGGTCCTGCCTCCGCCCTTTGCCTTTGGGCAGGCCGCGTGGGGACACCAAGGATGCCCATGGAGGGGGTGGCGCTCTGCTGCACTCCCCTTGACTGTGCCATGGAGTCGGGGCCCGGGGCCAGCTCTGGGAGGGCTTGGGGAGCCCAGGCCTGGGCTACCCTGTTGTGGGGAGGGAGCAAAACTTGGGCACCACCTTCTTCCTCCTTGGTGGCAGGAATTTTGAGGTCAAAGAGAAATGACACTTTGTTGGCTTTTTAGTTTCTTGTGGGTCCGTTTGGCGGGTCTCCCTTGGGGAGGGGGTCTGGAGGGACCACAGTGGGACGCGCACCTGCTGCACCCTGGTCTCTCGAGCTCTGTCCTTCTCTCCTCTGTCCCTCGTCCCTTCCACGTTCTCTTTCCTCATTTCCGAGACATACGTCCGCTGTATGTACATACCAAGGCTCCTTTCTCGGCATATAGACATATATTGTGTGGTTTCCCCTTTCTTTCCTTTTTTTAAGAAACAAAACTATGGAAATAATGCCCCAACAGATGAGCGAAAATGTATTATTGTAAAGTTTATTTTTTTTAATAATGTTGTCTATCATGGGAACGAAAGGAAGTCGACCCCCAGAGTCCGGTCCAGTTGGGCTGACCGGGCTCCTGCCGGGGTTCCTGTCGCGTCGCGCTTAACCAAGGCTCCAATAAACGTACTAGGAAGCAGCTGCCTCTGCCTCGCTCCAGCCTTCCTTCGTCCCCATGTTGTTGTTGGTTCAGTGTCACCTGTTCACTGGGGGGGCCCGGGGACGTGTCTGTGTGCGTGTGTGTGCACCCACGTGTCTCGCTCATGTGTCCATGCTGTGGGTGCAGGGAGCCCCGTTGGGAGCTGGTTTGATGCTCCAGGGTCAGAGGGTCCCTGCTGGTCCATTCTGTTCCCTCCCCTGTCAGCACGGGTGCCTGCGGCTCCCAGACTGCAGACAGTGCAGTACCCCTGGGGGTGGTGGAAGGAGAAACAACTTGACTCCACATCTCGGGTGTGTTTTGTTTTCAGGCTGTCTGGGTGACCCTGGTAGGTGGCTCTGTTAACCTTACATAGAGCGGGGAGCTGTGTCATCCGGGGACCCCCGGCTTACTTGAGGTCTGTGATGGTGAAGGCAGGGACCTGGCCTCTGGGGTCCCACCAGAGAAGGAGAATGACTGTGAGTGTTCTGGGGTTGGGCTCCAAAAGATGTGTCCCTCCATCATTTCCTTTTCTTTGTCCATGTGCCACCCAGACCCCACCTGGTCACTGGGCCTGCCATGTTCCCCCAGAGAGACTGTCCCGGGAGAGGACTGGGAGATGCCTGCTACTGAGAATGCGTGTGTGCACTTGTGAGTGCGTGTTCATGTGTGTGCTTGCATGTGTTCATGTGTGTGCTTGCATGTGTTCATGTGTGTGCTTGCACATGTTCATGTGTGTGTCTGAGTGTGTGCCCACAGCAGGAGGAAGGAGGGAAGACAGGCAGGTGAGAGGACGTTCCCACTGTCAGCCTGGTCTTCAGGGCTGCATGTGATCCGATCCTGTCCCCATTGGATGATGGGATATCATTTTCCAGTCTCTCAGTCCTGGGTCACCTCACGGGGCTCTTGTCTCGGTTGCACCTGTGTTAGTAACATCTGCTCCTGGTGGTGATCACTGTGGCGTGTTTCATTCTGTCCTTTGTACAGGGGAAGGACACTGGGCCGGTCTGCTCTCTGCCCAGCCACCACCGGCCTTACTGTGGGTGGAGGTGACACCCACTTGGGAGTCCATGTTCCTTGCAAACAGCAAAGACTGAGTGTCAACAGTACAAGACCAGCCACAGGTGCAGGGCTGCGTGGACCTTTGTGGCCTTCACAAGGGAGACTACTGGGCCACGGGGAGGGAGTTCTGTAAACAACTTCATTAAATCGAGTATGGTGTAGACTTGGAGAGAGACGGAAGGGAGATGGTGTCCCTGGGGTGTGGGCCCCTGCCGAGGCCTTCCTGGTGGCCCAGGGGAGGATGGGGGTGGACATTGCACTCCAGGGTTTGCCATCCTGACCTTGCTGGGATTGCTAACCACCTTGTTGGCAATGGTTTTGGCTGGAAGATACCTCTCCAGGAAGGATACTGAGCAGCTGGGATCCTGCCCACTTGAACCTTGACTGCCCTTGCCCAGGGGTACCTCAGGTAAGAGGAGAGAGCAGACGTTTGAGGATTGGGCAGACCAGGTTTTGAGTTGGGATCTGACCTGACCAGCAGGGTGACCCCGTGCAGTCTGAGCTTCCGTTTTCTCATCTGTGAAATGGAGATGGCGGTCCCGGTCTCTCGGGAACAGTGTCAGGATTCAGCGGGATGCCCTGCCAAGTGCCTGGCCCGTGTGATGCTCGGCTGTCCCATCCGCCCCGTGGGCACACTGTCCCGGCCTCCCTGCTTTCAGCAGCAGGAGGAGCTGCACCACCTTCCGACCTTGGCGCTTTCCACCTTCCTCCTCCTCTCTGTATCCTAAGAAGCTTTTGTGGATTCCCTGTGGCTGACCAGGGAACCGGATGTGCTCAGGGCCCCGGGCTGTGCTCTTGGAAGCATTGCCACGTGCAGCGAGGGGCAGGAAGAGAGAAGAGGGGAAAAAGGAAACTTCTTCGTCTCTGTAAATCAGAGTTGATTGATCTGTGAGTCACTGGGGACGTTGGCTACAGAACATCCAAATGTCATGCTCTCTGCAGTCCTGTGACTGGCCGCTCCTCCACGCACTCCGGCAGGAGATGTGCCGCCGGGCAAGCGCACCAGCTCAGAACCGAGACCAGGGAGCATCGATGAGACACGGGAGCGGAGCTGGGAGGACGTCGGTGCCTGCAGGAGAAAGCTGGCGTGTGGTCCCCAGTCAGGCCCAAGGCAAGAGCAGAGCGAGTTTCACTACCTCGGGCTCTCAGGCTCCCAGAGCCAGCTCTGGGTGTGAGTTCCGAGCCACCCTCATGCTCTCCCATATAGGAAAAGGGCTGGCAATGAGGTGAGAGTCTGATGACACATTGTAGTTATTTCTTCTTCTGGAGGAGTCTGGCGTGTACTGGAGAGTGTCAGGGGACCCATGTTCAACTCGGGCTTTGCCATCCATAAGCTGAGTCACCGAACCTTTCTGAGCCTCAGAAAGGCCACTCTAGGTCAGGGATGGGCAGACTTTCTCTGTAATGGGTCAGATGGTGAAGATAGGCTTGTGGGCCATGCTGCTCTCACTTGCAAGCACCAACTCTGCATGAAAGCAGTCATAGGCCATATGTCAACGACTGGGCATGGCTGTGTTTCAATAAAACTTTATTTAAAGAAACAGGCACAGGCCAGATTTGGCTCATGGGCCATGGTTTGCCAGCCCCTGCTCTAGACGACCTCTGAGACCAAGCTGTCAATCCCAGGCAGGTGGGCCGCAGAGTGACTGCGGTGGCAGGGCTGAAGTCATCCTAGGTTGGAGGAAGAGAGAGGGCAGTCCCACCCATTGTGCAAGGGGAGGCGAACTCGAGAAAGAGACAGCTGGGAGGAAGCAGGGGAGCAAGGAGAGAGACCGGGGAGCCTGTGGGCCACACACCCAGGTGCTGGCTGGGTCGTGGTGGCCGTGAGCACCATGGTGAGGCCGTGCTCTGCCCAGGCTCACAGACCCGCAGGGCAAAGGGGCTGAAATCCAGGCACACTCAACTTGACCATCTGCACACCTGCTGGGCCTCACCTCTGACTAGGGGCCTCGTTCATTCCCTAATTTGACAAAGGTTCCCACGTGTGCTGGCAGAGGACCTGTGGCCCACAGCAGGCAGGACTGTCACTCCGGGGCAGGGGAGAGTGAGGGGTCCTGGCTGCATAGAGAAGGCCCCGAGAGCCCTGCATGGCTGTCGGTGAGTCACTCACCCTCCCTGGACTCTGCCACCCCATCTACAGAGGGCGGGGCTGTTCCCTGAGCTTCCTGCGCCATGGGGCTCTGACTCTTGGACTGCCAGCCGTTTCTGAACTCACCAGCCTGGTGCAAAATGACTGGGATGGAGACAGACAGAATTCATCTCCCTTTCAGTAAACGCCGTCATCGCGCTTGGTTGCTCCAGTTTTTCACTGAGCTGGGGACTGCTGCCGTGGAGCTCTCAGTCTGGGCCTGGCACCTCGCACCCTGGCCCATTCCCCCTCCTCCAAGACAGCATTTCTTGGGGAGCCAACCCCTGGGGCCACGTGGAGCAAGGACACCCACCTCCCTGGAGGAGGGCACACTTGAGTCACCTTGACCTGCATTCTGCCCAGCAGCCAGAGGTCACAGAGTCCCCCACACATGGACCACCCAGGCAGAAAGCGATTCTCATCAAACATCTCTGCGGGAGAGGAGTTTGCACAAGCACCTGGTGAGCATGCTTCAGCTCCAGCAGCAGGAAGAGAGCCTTCCAGAAAAACCCTTCCTTGGTTTTTCCTGCACAGCGGACAGACTCCCCCCCTTCCCTGCCCACCAACACACAGGGAGGAGGCTGCCGATTTAAGATGAAGGCAGCCGCTTTCACCTACTGCGTTTAAAACTCAGTGGGCCGGTGCCGGCCGGCCCTGTCCGTCCTTCACTTTCATCCTCGGTGGAAGATAAAAGGCCTTTTTCAGAGCCCCAGAGACCTGAGATTACTCTTAATTCTTGTTTTGTTAGAGAGCTGGCTGCATGTGAGCCCACGGTGTCACCAGGGCTGTGGACCGAGACGCTGCCCTCCGGGATGGGTATATACAGCATTCTACCCTGGGTGCCCAGGGCGACGGGGCGCTCAAACAACCTTCTCCTGCAGATGGGGGAGACTGGGCCTTATTGGCAGCTGGGAATGGTGACGACAGTGACCAGGGGGATCTCTCAGGCTTCTGTTAGCCCTCTGACTCTGCCCTTGGGGGCTGCTGCCCCAGACACCCCTCCCCTTTCTCCTGTCCTCACCGGCTGCTGTCAGGCCAGGGCCACCAAACACTTCCGCATGCCAGCGTGCGCTTCCGTGCGGGTGTGGGACTCTGTTTTGACGTGTGCATGCTGATTAGGTGGCCCCTGGTGTCTGCGTCCTGTTAGACATTCTGCTTGGCACAGACTTGGAATCCAATCTCTCTCTTTCCGGAGTTCCCTTTCATCCTTTTTCTTTAGAACTTCTTCCGCCTGGCGGGCGTTCTGCCTCCACCTTCTAGAGCAGGTGTTGTGTTCGGCATTCGGCATTCGCAGGCCCCCCGAGCAGGAAGGGCTGTTTTCCCCGGAGTCCTCTGCTCCAGGTCACGATTGCTCCTCCTCTTCCCGGCCGTCTGGCCCCAAATGAGCGTCATCTTGGGAGACCCGTCTGGCTCCATCTCGATGGTCCTGTCTTATCTTCTCTCCGCCGCCAGCACAAGCCCCTTCCCTCCATGGGCAATGAAGTCGAGAGAAGGAACCTGCTGGGCACATTTCAGCATGGTAGGCGGCCTCTCTCCACCCGTGTGGTTTGCCCACGGACGGTTACACTTTTTCCCTGTTCTTAACCTCTTCAAATTGCACCGTGCATTTTCTTGCATTTCACTGCCAAACTCTACTCATTTGAATTAATTGGGAGGCTTTATGGGAGACTCATCTAAACGAATAAAAAAATCCGTACTATAAAGTTTTGCATGAACAAAGAAATGTGGTATCATCTCTTTAAAGTGGGGCCCAGCCCTTACAAGACCCTCCAGATAAGGCCACCACCTTTCTGGCTTCTTCTCCAACTACCCT